CGTTGGGGGTCGCTGCGCTCCCGTGGGCTGCAGGTCTGGGCGGGCAGCTGCGCCCTAAAGGCCGAGCCTTGCAATCCGGAGCGTAATCCGTAAGCAGGCTTGGGCTTAGGGAAGGTCGACGCGTGTACAGCTTAGAACTCAAGCTGCTTGTAAGAGGTTTTCATGGAAATCATATTTTTTTATTTTTTATTTTCCCCCGGTGAAACTTGTGGCTTGTGACGTATCTAGTTTTACAAACCCGAAGTAGAAAGGTGCTTGCATTCAGCAGGTTGCAGCAGGACCCGAGGTGAGCAAACCTCTGTTCCCGCACACCCTGCGTGGTAACGCTGCTTCTGTTTACGTTTGTTCGAGAGCAGGACGAGCCCGCTCTGATCACATCAGCAATGGAGCTTGCAGCACAAACGTGTATTTTGTCACAAGTCAAGGAGCCACCTGGGTGACGTGCCCTGAATGCTTGGTAGCACTTTGAGTAATGGTAGGAAACCATGAAGCTTGTGCACTGCCAAAGGGCTTTGGAGAACAGCCAGATCTCTTGTCTTTCTGCAGGGCAAAGTACAGCATTACTGATTTGTAACATTATTTATAAGCTTGGTGGCTGGGTGTGAGCGGAGAACGTTTTTTAGGTGCTTTTTCTTTGGAAGGGAAGGAAATGTAGCTTTTGAACTAGCTTCTTGTGGTTTGAGCGGATGTTGTTTAAAGAAGGGTGTAAGGCAGAGCAGTATTTTCTGTAGTTGTGCCTTGCTTCTGAGTTGTACACTTCTTATCAGCAGAGAAAAGCGTTGAGAAAGATAATGTGGACAAAGGCTAAACCGAAATGATTCTTGGCTTTTTACCTAGCTCTTCAGGAAAGAATTCCATGTGTTAAAGCTAATTTAGGCCATGAATAGCATTTCCTGCTGCTGAACACAGAACACCTGGCCTTCTGAAGGGAACTCTGTATTCGGGATCATTATATGATACAATTACTAACAAAGGTTGTTGTGCTGGTGCTTTGGCTCCAGATTGCACCGGGATGTATTTGGAGCAGCCAAATCGATCACAGCTCCTTCTTTTCTGCTTCAGATTATTGCACACACAGCAGGCTGGGCAGGGCAGGTCAGGTCGTGTCTCCAGTCCTACGCCACTGCAGTTTACAGCTCGTTTTGCTTAGCTGGGCTGGAAAAGTGAGAGCTTATGTCAATGTTGCATATTTTAAACTGGGATGCCAAAAAATGGGATGCGTAGCTGCCTCTTCCAGTTTGATCTCTGTGCAGGTGTGTGTCAGAGTGCCAGTAGTAACAGCGGTCTGGGCAGTTGCATGCTCTCCATAGATGGTCATCATGATTTAAGATGCTTCCTCCCCTCACTCCTTCTGGCCTTACTGCAGGAGATGACTGCTTTTCTGCTAGGAACAGTACGGCAAAAAATGTGTCTGCCTCACTTGTCATGTGGCAGACTGGTGTATGCTCATCTTCAGGACTCGTTTAATGTGAGATTCTAGACTTTGAACTGAGATGTTGCATTTGATTGTCCCTACCATACAAATAGGAACCTCTGGCAAAATAGTGGATTTCTGATGTGAGGAACATCTCAAATCACTGTAAATCTGCCAGAGCCTCAGGGTTTCCAAAGTTTCTTAATATAATGGAGTGTTAAATACTTTGAATATTTTCTTAGTCCCACTTGGCTTCTTCCTTATTCAGTCATTGAATCAAATATATTCAAATGAAATCACACCACTAATTTCAAGATGCGCCTTTTAACAGAGCAAACTAATACTTTTATCTGGTACTGTATCCTCAAGTCAGGATTGAGTGACTAATTCTTCTCCCTTCTGTCTTAGTTGAAGAATCTTGTTCTGGTGTGGGCCAGGATGAAGCCAGTTTTCTTTCTACTGATTTTTTCTTTTCAGTTGACTCTCTTACAAGCAGAACACTTGCTGAAATTAACAGCAAGTTTTCCAGCTAGTGGTGTGATAATGTTCAATGTATATAATTACTGCTGGAGACCAAGGCAACCTTGTTCTGCTTGTCAAATCTGCAGTTTCAGACACTAAAGGAGCAGAGGGATCACATCTACAACCCTCCTGTAGAGAGGAGCAGACTAGACAGACTAAAAATGGCCAAAAAGAATATTCCATCCCATACGCATCATACTGGGTATAAATTGAGAGATCATGGAAGTGAATCCCCCGTTCATCCATGGCTGGCGTCCAAGAGGGACTCCGTCAGTCCATTGCTGACCCAGTATTAAACTGTTACAGTACTTTAATTAGAATTTAATTGACAACTTGGACATGCTTTGACAATGAGAGTTGCCTCCATCTTCAATAGTCAGACCAGCTATCCCCAGGGTTTTCAGCCTCCTGAGCTGGAAGATAAGGACAGAGAGCAGGACAACGCCCCCATAATCCAGGAGGTGGTAGTTAATGATCTGCTTCTGCACCTGGACACGCACAAGTCTGATGGGATCCACCCTAGAGTGCTGAGGGAGCTGGCAGGGGAGCTTGCTAAGCCTTCCTCCATCATTTGTCAGCAATCTTGGTCAGCAGGGGAGGTCCCAGATGACTGGAGGTTGGCTAATGTAACACCAATCTACAGGAAGGGTTGGAAGAAGGATGTGGGGAACTACAGGCATGTCAGTTTGACCTTGGTACCAGGGAAGATCATGGAGAGGCTCGTCTTGAGCGAGCTCGCTTGGCAAGTGCAAGGCCAGCCAGCATGGGTTTATGAAAGGGAGGTCTTGCTTGACCAACCTGATCTCTTTCTGTGGCCATGTGACCCACGTATTGGATGAGGGGAAGGCTGTGGACATTGTCTATCTAGACTTTGGTAAGGCCTTTGACACAGTCTCCCACATCATTCTCCTGGAGAAGCTGGCAAATCATGGCATAGACAAGTGTACTCTTCACTGGGTAAAAAATGGCTGGATGACCCAACCCAGAGGGTTGTGGTAAGTGGAGTCAAATCTAGTTGGTGGCCAGTCACTAAGTGGTGTCCCTCAGGTCTCATTTTTGGGGCCAGTCTCGTTCCGTATCTTTATCAATGATCTGGATGAGGGGATTGAGTGCACCCTCAGTAAGTTTGCAGATGATAACAAATTGTGTGGGAGTGTTGATTTGCCTGAAGGCAGGAAGGCTCTGCAGAGGAACCTGGACAGGCTGGATTGATGGGTCAAGGCCAATAGTATGAGGTTCAATAAGGCCAAGTGTCAGATTCTGCATTTTGGTCACAACAACCCCATGCAATGCTACAGGCTTGGGGAAGAGTAGCTGAAGGGCTGCCCAGCAGAAAAGGACCGAGGGATGCTGGTGGGCAGATGGATAAGCATGAGCCAGCAATGTGCCCAGGTGGCCAAGAAGACATCCTGGCCTGCATCAGGAATAGTGTGGCCAGCAGGACTAGGGAAGTGATTGTGCCTCAGTACTTGGCACTGGTGAGGCTGCACCTTGAGTCCTGTGTTCAGTTCCGGGCCCCTCACTACAAGAAGGACACTGAGGTGCTGGAGCGTGTCCAGAGGAGAGCTGCCAAGCTGGTGAAGGGTTTGGAGAATAAGTCTTATGATGAGCAGCTGAGGGAAGTGGCCTTGTTTAGTTGGAGAAGAGGAGGCTGAGGGGAGACCTCATTGCCCTCTACAGCTCCCTGATAGGAGGTTGTAGTGAGGTGAGTGTTGGCCTCTTCTCCCTAGTAAATAGTGACAGGGCCAGAGGAAATGGCCTGGAGTTGCAGCAGGGCAGGTTCAATTGGATATTAAGAAGAATTTTGTACTGAAAGGGTTGTCCTGGTTTTAGCCCGGATGAAGCCAATTTTTCTTTTTACTGATTTTCTTTTTCCTTCATAAGCTTTCTTGTAACTAGCAACAGTGTGTTCTGCTAGGCTGATAAGACAGTGGAATGCTTTTCTAACTACTGAGGCTTCAAGGCTGCACCTGCACTCTGCTGGCTCCGACACTGTGGGGAGATCTGTGACCCCCCTGTAGGAGGCTGAGTTAGTCAGACAGCAAAATTGGCCAAAGATATTCCATTCCATATATCTACGTAAGCTAAAAGGAAGGTCAGAGATCACAGAAGACAACTTCCTTCCTTCTTCTCCCCTTCTCTTCCGTCCATGGC